CCTTCTTTGGGGAAAACTCCTGGCCATCTGACTTCCCCCTCGAGCAGCACAGAGAAAACAGAAGGTCGCTGACTTTTCCTGGTCACACAAGCATTTTCCTATACTAACACTAGAAGTCTATTCTAATATCTATTCTAAAAGATATTTATATTTATTTAGATATTTATGTAATATATCCCATAACACATGTTAATCAAGAATATGTTAACAAAGAATTAACTACTAGACATATACTGTTTGTTTTAACCACTACACATACTTGAGACCCTCTCTTGAATGTCTGCCATTGTGATGATTACTGGGTCTTGTGCAGGGAGGTCACTGTGGTCTGCTCTCAGTTCCACCAGCCACTGGGCATTGTTGTTATGTGATGCCTCCTTCTCCCATATGCTCTTTCAGAACTGTTCAGTCTCCAGCCTTGGTGGGTCTGCTCTCATGTTATTACTCCAAGGCCTCAGGTACGGAGAGTGAGTTGTACTTCTTAGGTACCCCTTTGTTCATCACGCCTTTCTGCAATTCTGATAGCTGGCTAACTTCTCTCCTTGCCGCTTTGATCTTGGTCTCCAACTTCCTTCTCCATGGAGGATACTGCTCCTTATGGCCTTTGTTGAACTTATAGCCAAGCATCTCAGGGATGACGGTTGCTGCGGTGTATATGAGCTTGTTGGTCTCAGTGATGGTCGTAGTAGAGATTGTTCTTAGTGCTGTATTCACATCTTCTATTGGTAACCGGCCAGAGAGGTCCCAGGTGTCCATCTTGCTCATGATCTTCAATCTCAGGTCAGCTGCTCTTGAATTAAGCTCATCTGAGCTTGTTATTGGGGCTTGGTACCCAATCTCCGATTGTGGGGGTGATGATGATGATATCTCCCCCCCCCTTGCTGGAGCATTTGTGTTGCACCTCATCAATCTCTAGCTTTGATAGCAGGTGCTTCCTGCGAATGTTAGAGCACTGAGCTACTAGTTGTTTAGATGTTGGTTTTCGAAGTATCCACAGGTCCCACAGTAACCCCTCACACTGGGGTTACTTGTATAGTAGCATTCCAATAGTTCCCTGTTCTCATCTTTTCTCCATGAATGTCTTGTTCCAGTAGCCCACTTCTCATTAGGTTGCCCTGGTTCCTCAACACCTGACGCGGACCTTGTTGACCCAGGCGATGTCCAAGCCGGTGTGACTCTTATTCTTCCCACTCTAACGACACAGGCTGGATATTGACCATGTCCTGACCGGGCTATGAACCCCCAACCTTCCGTACCAAAGTCAGTGGTGTTAGTCACTGAGAGCTCTCTCTCTCTCTCATATATATGTATGTGTGTGTGCGCGTGTGTGTGTGTGTGTGCGCATAACACCCAATAAACACAATGTCAGCACATCTCAAGGTGTAACAAGCACCGTGCATGCACATAAGACAGGGGCGCATCATAATAAGGTCAAAGCGCACATTACCTAGCGATGATGATTTGACTGTTGACCACAGACCTGGTTTGTGCTGGTCAGTTGTCCAGTCACTTTGTGTACCCTCATATTACCGATGCACACACAATTTTCATACAGATACCCCTGCCGGCGTGAGGTCTGCACACTGCTGCTGGGTGAAAAGGCAATGTGATGCTTATGAAAACGGTAATTGTGCAGGTAGAAAATTAGGGAACAGACGCGCTACCCGCGCCATACACCATGGTTTGCTGCAAGATAGGACCATAATCTAAAAATAGCTAACATAATTACAACAAAATTACCACAAAACAAGGCCTCCCAGTAAATGAACTGTGACTTTTTAACATGAAAATTTTGGACATTTGGATTAATTTTTGCTTTTCCTCACTTGTGCACTGAAAGACACTCAAGAGGCAATGTCTCTTCTGGATGAGCACACTTCACTGTGAAAACCTTTCAGGCTCATAAATTTGAGTGTTCATCTCTTGATATTTCTCCATTTATCTCTTAACTCCATCATCTCCTATTGACATTTGCTCAATGTTTGGAGACTCTAGGGGGATTTTTTCCATTTCCTGATAGGGCACAGATGATGAGAAAGAAATGAAGAGGACACACTGTGTGTAGCTGAATAGCCTATACTTCAATTTCTGTATTTCTCTACATTTCTCCACCTGACACCCATAGGTTGTGAGAGGTAGAGGGGGAGAGAGGCATGCACTGTTTTTGTGTGGGAGATGGCTGGGGGCAGCTTCATTGCAGCAGGATGGGCCAAGGGCAGAAAAGAGAGGCTCTTCAAATGCCTACCAACAGACTCCTGCTCCCCTATCAAACCTTCACTTTCTGCCATGGCCTCCCACAGACACAGTTCATCTGCTGGAAGAAAATTTTAAATCCTAATAGAGCCACATTGAGTTCAGATAATAATTATTTTAAATATTCTAAATATCAGAAATGTGCCTGTCTCTCATTGTGAGAGCTGTGAGTATAAAAAAAAAAAAAACACTAAAATTATCATAGTACTCCAGTACTCTATTAACGACTAAATTGAAACAATTCTAACACATGAAACTGATCTAAACAACTGAGCAGTAAACTGGCATGGACAGTACGAGTTCTTTTCCATTTGGCAAAACTGGACCACAAAACAAAATCTAAAAAATAGACTGGCAAAGAGGTCTTCATTCACATGCAAGATACCTGTGATTCGTTACTGGATATAGCTCAGTGTAGGTTTCCATTTCTTCATGTCCTGTCTACACTCCAGGAGTTCCTGACAATCTGACCACCACAGTCAGTCCATTTCAAAAAAACCAAGGAAAGTTCCAGTGGAGGCACAAATCACAACTGTGTCATAAATCATGGCTGGCATCTCTGGAGTATACCTACTGTACAAGAAAGCGGGCAGCAGTGATGGAAACTTGAGTAAAAATATTAGGCATTTGCAGTCAAGCGTGCCCTTTTTCTGAGACCTCCGTACAGTTTATTTTACCCCCTAAAATCAAGTTCCCATGGAACTTCCACCGACTAATCTAAAGTACAGGAAAGCCTCGGAAATCAATGGAGGAAAGGAAAATCATCATTTATTTTCTTTGTCACAATAACCCTACCTTTTTCAGTCAGAAGTGTGTGCTTGAATATCCCTGACAGACATTTTCTAAGTGAGCAGAGTGTGTGGTGCAGTACCTACCTCAGCTGTTTACTTCTGTTTAGAACTGCTTAGCAACAAGAATATATCTGACAGCACAGGGCGCAGAATATATTTTACAAAAATGTAGCAGGGTGCATGACACCAATATCTAAGTCTAAGTTTTGATACTAAATTCTTTACTTGAACTGGAAGTCCAGCCTTGCCATCAACAAAGCTTCACACTTGGAACTAGATCCAGCCATCTCTACTGGCTGCAAAAAGTATTCTCACCTTCTATTCCACTTACAGCACAAAAGGAAAATTGTTGTTAAAAATGTTTTCTTTCTAATATAATGTAGACTGAGCACAAAAAATATGGATGGATCCATAGAAAGATAGATAAAATGACCTTAATGTGGCTTTACTGTCCATCGTGTTTAAACTGCAGTTTAAGGTCTAATTCTCAACTTCTCTAATTTTATTTCATGTTATTTCACCTATTTATTTTCAGGGACAGTGCTCACTGATCTACAGAAGAAAAGCTGTAACCTAGCTGTAACCAACTACTCTTGATGGCAAAAAAAGGCGCCCTAAAAATAGCAAAAAACTACACTGAACATAAAAGTCAATGGTGTTGCATTGGTCACCAACTGGCAGCGGCTGACATTCAGCAGTAATATTCAAACCCTTTGTACAGATAGTTCATTTATAGTCATATCTGTGCACCCTCCACACCGTCATCAAAGCTGTAGGTAAATCTGAGTGACACAAAGCTGAACTGAGCATTGTGTGTTGTCATAGTGACACCGTCAGCGTTGACAGTGATGGTGATGGTGATGGTGGTGGTGGATGGGGGCTGAGTCAAGTCATTTCAGTGCTTGCTACTTGTGTGGGCTTGTCTGCGTCTGCTGTGATCGAGGACACTAGCTTTAACAAGCCCAAATTCCAAGGGCGTGCTAGCTGTCACATAAACACATGAGTTGTATTTCCCATGCAAGTAATATAAACATGACTCTCTCTAAATAGCAAGAGAAATATTTTAGTGAATTTAAGTTCAATTTATAAAAAGTGTAACACTGACTTGCCAGTGGGGGAGAAACCTCAGTGATAGTTACTAGGATGTATATTTTAATTAGCATTTTTTAAACCTTGTACTGAACTCTAAGGCTGCAGTGTAGTCAATGCAGCATGTGTAATCCCTCTCCTTGACCCTTCGTGCTGTGATTATGAATGAGTGCTCTGATCTCTCACACACATCCTGAGCTCTGCCTCCTTTCCTACACATCACACCAAGCTGTCTGAGACAAATTGCTAGCCATGAAAAACCAGTCATGTTGGTGATCTCCTTGGTGCTGCGTGTGTGTGTGTGTGTGCTTTTACATTAACTCTGGCATACACAGATGTTCTGGAACTAGAGTGACAACAAGACTATTTTTAGCTGAGGCTGCCCACACATGGGTGAATTTACAGCAGGGGAACTGTGTGCCTGTAACGTGGGGGAGTGTGAGTGAGGAGCTGACAAACATGCAGCAGTGTCCAGGTGCTGAGACTGAGAGCATGGAAAGCAAAGGGAAAGCTGTGGAAAATTAAACTAGGCCTTAAATACAAGGGGTGACCACAACCACTTACACAGAACTTCTCTCTCTCAAACACATGCACATAAACAGACACAACTGGATAGCAGCCCTGGCACCTGCACATCCAGAGAAAAGACGCTTATGTAATCTAGTTTGAGATATTCCACTAGCATTTCCAGACTTATCAATGGGTAGCAAAGGCTGTGTGAGCATGTGTTTCTGTACAAGCCAGTGACAGCGGTAGCATACAGCTACAGCTGGGTGACAGCAGTAAGAGTCCTCTGGAGGTAGACAAAGCACAAAACAGTCTCAGCGAGTGACAGGAGGAGTTTGGCTGGTTGCAGCCGCAGCTTACCTGCCACCTCTACTATGTCTCCTGGGACGATGTCTCTGGCTTTGATCCTCTGTACAGCGTTGCGGTTCATGCGGTACACCTTTCCCATCTCAGGTTCATACTCTTTCAGAGCCTCTATGGCATTCTCAGCATTCCGCTCCTATGTGGACAGTGTGCCAGAAAATGGGAAAGAAAAAAGTCATGCCAAGGACAATTCTTTCATTTTTTGGTAAATTAATGGTTTACAATTATTTTAAGTTAAATCTCTCAAGCCATGCAAGGCAAACACACTGCTTTTGATAATGACATCCTTTTTAAATACCAGTGTGAAGAGCAATCTTGGTCATTGTTTAAACTGTGATCCATTTGTTACACCTTAAAATCAAGCGAGCATAGCCACAGTGCAGTGCAACACGTTGTCTTTTCCACTGCACTGTGGCTGATGGACAGTGTGCCTCATCAAAACTCCTGCTCCCTTTTCCATACAACTGAGAGAGCATTTTGCATGAGCTTCGTGGTTTCCTTATGCTTTGACTTGACGCAGAGTTTCGACTGTTGTAGTGTCAACAGTCTTGTCCCACTGCAGTGTGCTATTTGAACATGCAGATGTTAATATATAGTGTCACTTTGAATACAGCACATAGACAAAATGACAGCTGGTGGAGAGACTTTTTCTTTTCTTTATGATCTGTTTAGCCATTGTTAGGATAAGGAGGATAGGGGGGGTTCAGTGTCTTGCCCAAGGACACTTCGACATGTGGACTGCAGGCACCAAGATTCGAACCTTCCGGTTGGGAGATGGCTACTCTAGCCACCGCACTGTCGCCTCCCCCAGGGTGAACACCGTTTGGAAAAAAAAAAACATGTTCATGCACATTTAACACAGATACTCGGGATGAAGAGTTACTCTTTCTCACCTGCCAGACCCCAATAACAGCGTTGGCGATTAGGATAAGAAGAATAACAACAGGCTCAACAAAGGCAGTGGTTGTCTCCTCTCCCTCCTCAAACAGAGCCAGCACCTACATGAGCATACAGCACACATGAAAGCAGACATTTAATACTGCAACTCCTTTTGTCCTGAGTTAGCTCAAATACATTAGCAAGAAGAGCAACTGCTCTAAAACATGCTTGGGAAGACAAATGGTGAAATGGTGGCGCAGAGAGACTTCTCAGTTCTAGTAACTGTGTGTTGCTATGCTGTCAGCATTGCTCAGAATTGGTTAATACTACGAATGGGAGAAAGTGGACATTTCAACCATTTACTCATAAATGTTAGCTTTCTATTTCAACTTCTTGTTCATTACTTTTAGCAATTTCAGCAGTTTATTCCATATTTTTAATTTATTTCAACCATTTATCCATTACCTTAAGTTTTTTCCCCAAGCACTTATCTACAACATTTACACATTTGAACAGGTGCTGCACTACTTTTAGCTATCTGTGCAAACTGTTTGTTCATTACTTTTAGCTAAATGTTTAGACCACTCTGGTCGCTTATTAACTTTGTCATACACTCTTACTGCAATGGATTGTGTTCAAGAATTCGGTTGATTTTCTTTTAAATCAAATTGTAATTTCAATTTCTATATACATCTTAGCAACTGCATGATTACAGGCCTGTCCTGTGCAGTAACAAACCATCTAGACTGACAATAACTGCAAGTGTAAGCTACTGCAGAGCACTATCGGAACAGGGAAACATTTTGAACAGTTGTTGTACTGTAGGTTTGGTTTTTTTTTTGGCTATTTCATTCCTACTCAGAAAATGGTCAAACTAAATTAAAACAAATGAAGGGGAGAACTGTTGCCCAGAGCAGCAATGGTGCCTAAAATGACAAGGGCAATAAAAATAAATAATTAGATCAGTGTGGTAATAAAATCAGCAGGGCTACACAGAATGAACTGGGCTAATATGAAATAATGTTATTCTTATGAAGCCCAGTTTTGCAGTACCACATTTTGTAGCACAGAGCAGATCCAGGACACCAAAGCTTTTGAACGTCAAAAAACACACACATAATCAACATTTACATAAGGATCTTGTGGGATCTACTTCTTTCTGTAGTGTAGTGTCTGTGTATATAACCATGAGTCATGAGAGGTCTGACTGACAAGACAGTCAATAGCTAAAATCTGAGACTAATACATTTTAATAATAATGTGTGCTCATTTATGTGCAAGACAGAGACATGGATTTAGAACGTCCACCAAATCTTAATTTAGTTGCCAGTCAAAGATCCATGCAGATTTAAAATAATTTTGTTAAGGAACTTTGACATGATCTCACAGTATCTGTCTCTTGAGATGATATGCAGAAGATATTTAATAATTCAAAAGAAGTGTGCTGGAATGTCAGTGACTGAATTTTGAGATACTGCAAGGACTGGCTATAATAAAAACTTCACAAAGACAAGAAATTACCTACGTTACTATAATTTAGCTACATACATATACAGTATAATGTCAGAGATGGCAGTTATTCTATGTTACCTGTTACAATATGCAGCAAAGAACATCATTAGGAGATCATGACAGAAAAAGCTCCCCTGTGCAACACAGAAATGACTTGTTGTTTCCATCACTTTATAAATGCCAGGTATTGAAAATGAAATAAAAGGCGCAACAAAAGTAGCAGAGAGATGCCAGGTATTGAAAATGAAATAAAAGCCGCAACAAAAGTAGCAGAGAGGAAGAAGGAGACATGTGGATCTATGCTTTGATGATCTGATGAGGCTTATCAAATCATAAAAGAATACATTCTCTGCAGAGTATTGAGCAATGAGTGTACATCATGGAAGCCTGAATGTGGTCAATAGCTCATCATTCCCAGTCATGTGGGCTGGTAAATCTCCCTCCTGACTGAGACTGTCCAGTCCTCTCAGTAGACAGATTCACACAGTCAGCACATATTCAGAGAGAAGGCTGAAAAACTTTCATGTTGAACGAAGTTCAGATGGAGAGATGAGTAGAGTTTCTTTTGAGTTTTACAGTTTATTGGGGGAATGTGGTGTAGCTTGTCTGCAGTTGTTAACTGGACACAAAATAGACACAAAATGAAGCTTGTTTTCAACATTTGGTTTTGAAATCAAAGTGTCATTACCAAAATAAACCTCTCTTCACAATTTTAAACACTGCACTCTTCACACCCCACATGCATAACTGAACATTGGGACACATGCTGACAGATGGCCCATTCTATCCTAACGTCTCCAGAGTTTGGGAACACCACATGGTGCTCAGTAAACTAGAAAAAAAAATAGAATTCATATCAGATTGATCACAAAAACAACAAGGTCAACAATTAAAAATGGATATGTTTGGAATCCAATTCAACTGTCACTAAACTTTTCAAGTCCCTTTCTGTACTGTCTTAGACTCCCCAGCATTCATTCAATATTGTGTACTGTTGTGATGCAGAAAAACAAATGGAAGATCAGCACTCTTTCTTCCTAGAATTGAAAGGGGGAAATACATTGATTGTTTCTGGTGGCTATAGTGTGGCTCTGCTTAACCTGATACTCCTTTGACTCCTATGAGGAAGTTGGATGACTACGCTTCAGCAATACGCTTCAGCAAAACAAAAATAGATAAATAACAAAAATATAAATGTGTGTGCACATTTTAATATCTGAAAAACCCTGAAAAATACATCTTGTGCTTTTTCGTTTCCAGGAATTTGTTCTAATAATCAAATAACAATGAACAAATCTGGCCGTATGTTTGGAAATCTGCTGGCTGCCTTAAATACAAACACTTCTCTGAGACATGTAAGCCAAAGTAAGGTTCACAATAACCTGGCCAATTTAAATCCAAAGAAATCTATAGTGTGTGAAGATAATTCTGATGCTTTTCTTTAATGCCTCAGCGCCCACTTTCTTGCTGCACCTCTAACCAGCATCTGTAGTATGTCATTTGTGTTTGGAGTAAACTGAACTGTGATTGTTTCTGGAAACAAAAAACATGTTACAGCCTCAGCAGTCAGGATTAAGATCATGTCATAGCACAACAGCTGTAATATGTGTACTAAATGGCCATTAATCAACTGTTAAACTGTTAAAAACTGTTGTTTTTATAGATCTATCTCGTGCATCAATTTTTTAGGGTTTAATTTAAAAGATGTTTTTGTGAGGATAATGTTGTGAAGACTATATATAAATAACTATGAAATGGTTTTTGACCATCTTTCTGATAGAACTCGGGCAGTAGTTTCATTTGGTTTAAAATCAAGTGCTCCTAAAGTAAGTGTAGGTGTTCCACAAGGGTCAATTCTTGGTCCTCTTTTATTTTTTTCTTCCCATTATATATACACTTATATACTTTATACTTGTTCAGTTATTATTAGATATGATCAATTTTTGCACTATTGTTAACTTCATAAGTTTTTATAGTATGCTGTATGTAAATTCTTGCACAACTGTTCTGCCACTTCACAAATTTGCACTATATTTGCATTACTGCTAATACTACAGATCACTTGCACTGCTGAACTTGTTCTTTTGGTCTTATGGAATATACTGTATGTTATACTGTGCTTGGCATACTGCTAAAATAACTGAATGAGTATTTGTAATCACCATACCCACTTTTATGCACAACTAGTCTATTGCTGTATATTTTTAATGTTGTATATTTTAATACTGTGCTGAGCCAATGCAACAAAATGTCGTTCTGTGTACACTTGTATATCTGAATGACAATAAAGTCTAAGTCTAAGTCTACTGCGTATATACATACCTATACCTCTACCTTAATGCCTCTTGACTTTGTGTATCACAGTGCACTGCACATTATCACAAAAGATATATTCTTCACTCACCATTGCGTCTTATCTGAAAAGGTGGGTCAGTCCTTCTTAAGTGACAGAAGGAAATTGGACTGCATGCTATTTATCTATAAGCCTCAAGTGCAAAAATACCTCTGCTTACTGGTTGCTTATAAACTTAATATGCAACAATGTCAGGTTACAAGATACTTTAATATTAGCTGTGCCTCATGTTCAGACTGAACATAGTATGTGAACTGGTTTCTCATACTATGCTCCATACAAAATTGGATAAGCTGCAGGAACTGAAATCTTCACTAAGGATTTTAAAAGACTATATTTAAGTATTTACAATTGAACTTACAATTGCTTTCTTAATGTAAAACTGTTGTAAAATGCACTACATGTGTTAAATGTTCTGTGTATGTCTATAATTATACAGTCTGTGCTTTTCTTGTACACAGGTCTCTCTTTAAAAAGAGGTCACCATATCAAAGGCACCTGTTTAAATTATGATTTAAAAATTACAGTATATACAGTAGGCTGATCCGTAACAAGCTTCATCCTTGTGTCATGCAGGTTAATAATCTCAATTTGAATTTGTTCAAAATAACAGCCCAATGAGTACCAGGTTAAGGTTTAACTTTCACTGGATACATACAAAACTGTGAGCAAACAACTACAAGGAACTATAAAAACTGAATTTATCAACAGACAAGCTCTGACATCTGTGTGTAAAGGAAGGTGCACTGGAGTGTAACATATTTTTAATTTCAAGTCAGATCAGACCAAAAAGAGCATTTTTTTAGTTACTGAACTAAAGCCACTCTAGGCATCGATGACATTGTAAAGCAGAAGGGTCTGTGCAGCAGTGGAACAGGGGCAACGCTCCACTGTAAACAACCCTTTTAAAGTAAGGAAAGTCTGATTTACATGAAGAAAAGTGAGCCCCACTCCAAAGTGCTGCAGTTACAACACACACCTGCACTCTGAGCCTCTCACTAACATGGGGAACAGTTAGAGAAGACAGACTGTGTCATATACATTTTTACAGAAATGATCCTCTTTTCAGAAATAGCAACAGCAACACTAGGAAGGTGTTTTAATAGATGGAAAACGTTACTGTGCAATCAGGATTCCCCCACTCCACCCATCTTCCAACCTGCACCACCCTCAAACTGCAATCAGGATGACAGTTTGAGGTTCCGCAGCAAATGAGGTTTTGATTAATCGTTTTGTTTCAACTAAAGTGCCCTGCTTGTTCCCCTCTCTGAAACCATATCAACACTGGGTAGAAATGCCTGTAATACACAAGTTTCCACATGAAAAGGGACCACAAACTAGGCTGAGCAACGTTCAAGGAGGAGAAAAAAACTGCCTAAAGCTAATGGGGCAGTCTATTAGGTTGCATATTCCTGGCCAACGTCCAATTTGGGATATATATGACACTCAAGATGGAGAACAAATACAGTGAGACCCGCTGGCAGTTTAATTAGTTGGGTTGTACTTACAAAGGAGACGCAGGCAGCTAGCAGCAAGATCCTGACAAGGAGGTCTTCAAATTGTTCCACTACCAGCTCCCACAGGGACTTGCCTGAAATATCCATTGACAGATGTTCATCATACCCCATTATGCATCACCTTTCATTTAAAGTTTGTCAGTCACAAGGACTCAACGTGTGTTTTTATACTTAAAGTTGCAAAGGACCTGTATGATATGTTGACACTAGCTTGATCTAGAACTTTGACACTAGCAACTTTAGAGCAAGACAGTCCCTGTGTACAGAGAAAAGCTGTGATGTATGTACATTGGTGGGAAGTTGCAGAAGTGTACACTCCCAATGTTTACCTCTCAGTCTACAGAAAAGAAAAGATCCTGGCTTAAGACACTTAATCAGGTAGTAAAGGGAGGAGGACTTGAACTTGCTGGAAAAATCAATATTTACCTTCTTCAGTCGGGAGCTCTGTAGATGTCACACCAAGCAGTTGTAAAGGAATCAAATTGGCAGGCCAGGGAGAAAGAGAGAGAGAGAGAGAGAGAGAGAGAGAGAGAGATGAGAAGGTGGGGTTGGGGAGAAGAAAGACAAAGAGCAGTTAACACATTTGATTAACTCAGCCTGACTTTGAAATACATAGACACATAGAAATAGCTCAGCAGAATCGTTCTGCTTGATTATGATGATTAAATCCTATGTGTTTTTTTTTTCAAGTTGAGCATTATTGTCTGCAGTCATATTGCTACTGGCTTAAATAACTACGGATCCAACTCTAAAATCGTCAAACAGTCCAAAACAGAACAATATTTAGTTTAATAGCACAGAAGAAAACCAAAAATTATTCCTATTTGAGAGACTGGAAGCTGGAAGCAAAAAAGATAATTGATTACAGAAAAGTTAGCAATATTTCTGTCAGTCAAAATAGTTTCAAGTTTAAAATGTTCATGATCCAGGGTCCCATAGCCAGTGGTGTATGTAAGAACATTTAATCAAGTACTGTAGCATAGCACAGTTTTGATGTACTTGTTAACTCAAGTATGTCCATTTTATACTGTTCTATGCTTCTACTCTATTAATACTACATTTCAGAATGAAATGTTGTAATGTACATTATATTTATTTGATCACTTTAGTTACTAAAAATTTTGCAGATTCAGATGAATAATTTGTGTATAATTAACAATGAAATTATGATGTATTATCATAGGTTATGAAAAGATCCATGGGGAAATTCCCAAGCTACCCACCAGTAAAGGAACTTTATAATTAGCCCCATCTTTAGCTGCAACATTAAAATACTGTATGGATTTGTAATATTAATCATACATTATTCTGAATAGGCCATTCTGTAGGAGTACTTACCTTTGCTACTTTAAGTATATTTTGACGCAACACATAGAACTTTTAGTAAAGTAACACTTTGTTACAAGTCAAAGTCATGCATTCAGAGTATTTCTATAGTGTGATCCTGCTACTTTTACCCGAGTCTGTGTACCGCCACTGCCCATAACATTCAGTTTATCTAAAGGAAATCATTGTCTGTTTCTGAACAGGCCACGACACTACTGTGTTGCTTAAAGTGTTTTTATGTGGTTGCTACTGTACTGGTCATCATTTTATACACAAACATACTCAAAAAGCCCCACATGACATCATCTTGAAACATACACCCACACACCAAAACATACTGCTGAAATGAATTACAGTGCCTTGCAAAAGTATTCATACCCCTTGAATTTTTCCACATTTTGTCACATTACAACCACAAACTTAAATATATTTTATTGGGATTTTGTGTGATAGACCAACACAAAGTATCACATAATTGTGAAATGGAAGGAAAATGATACGTGGTGTTCAAGATTTTTTACAAGTAAAAAAAACTGGAGCTACTTTGCAAAGACGAAGGGCAAAAATTTCAGTCTCTAGATGTGCAAAGCTGGTAGAGACATACCCCAAAGGACTTGCATTTGTAATTGCAGCGAAAGGTGCTTCAACAAAGTATTGACTCAAGGGGGCTGAATACATATGCATGCCACACTTTTCAGATTTTTATTTGTAAAAAATCTTGAACACCACGTATCATTTTCCTTCCATTTCACAATTATGTGATACTTTGTGTTGGTCTATCACACAAAATCCCAATAAAATACATTTAAGTTTGTGGTTGTAATGTGAAAAAAGGGGAAAAATTTAAGGGGTATGAATACTTTTGCAAGGCACTGTAAATAGTTGATTGATCAATTGTCAGATTATCAACAACAGCAAATTAAACGGCTACAATTGAGATAATTCATTCTCAAGTAATTTACAAGGCAAACATAAACATTTGTTTGTTCCAGTTTGTCAAATTTGGTAGATTTTTTTTAAATACATTTTATAAATTGAATGTGTTTGGATGCTAATTACACAAAAGCAATCTGAAGACCTCACTTTAGGCTCTGGGGACTTTTAAAAACATTTCAATAACTGTTAACTGAAAAGATGACACAATAATGAGAAATACTCAATGGGTGGAGTTCAAACTGAAATGAAGGTCACCTTTGTTAACTTGTCCAGGCAACAACAGAAAAGTTGGGGTTATGATAAATTTTCAGTTGTATAGTCCTGTCTGTTAGAATTACAGACCACTGTGCAATGTTTTGGTGTCTAATAAGCTTTAAACACATAAATCCAATATCCATCGTTACATGTAACAACACCCCACCACCACTGCAGTCCCCTGCTTTTTTTTTTCCCATACAGGGCAAATGTCTGGGTGAAGATGGCTTTAATCGGGACTGTGGTGATGTCATTGACATTCATACAGTATGAAAGCCTCCGTCTCTAAATTGCTTTGGCTCACTTCTTAGCAGTCAATGCATAGAGTCTGCTTTCTGCACTAACCCCCTTTTTGCATCAATATGCTGGTACACGCCCACCAAAGAAATCCAATAATAAAAACAAGTTGCTCTTTTCTTCCACGTCATCTTGCTATTTTTCATCTGTCATTTGCAAAGAAAAGTTGCAATTTACATGTTCGCATGTAAAGAGACAAGCCGAAGCATCTTAGCCACTCTTACTTGATTAACACAACACAAACACCCACCACACAAATGAGTCACTGGTGTGAGTGGAAAACACATCACTCATACTCTAGAAAGCATCACAGTGACAAGTACTGTTGATCAGTGTCACCACAATGACACAAAGGCATGCTTAGTAAGTGCATGTGTCAGGTCCTCATCAAGTCTGAACAGGTCCAATGTATCAGACAACCTCCATCATATAAATATGTGATGAAAACAACATCTGAATGACTTAGTTTCTGCTCAGTTTTGTTAATTATTGTGTCATCAAGTCTTTGTTTTGTCTTGACGTCTTCTGGAAAAACAGATTTTCATACATCCTGACAATGAAGGAAATATATATTTTTCAATCAAAGAATCATGCCTCTCCAACACATTATTATTCCTTAATCTACAGTATATCACCTAAGAAAAGCTTATGTACATTATGAAATTCATACAGCTTGAATTACAGAGTGCATTACCAAAATGCCTGGGGAAAAGCAGCTATATTTGGTAGGCAGTGGGCTGTGGCCCTAAACGGCAGCAGTGGAAACCTTGTGTTCTGTTGCATGTTTTGACCAGACCACAGTACACAAGTATCAAATGTGACTGCATGGAGAGAAGGGCTGGAGGAGGAATGACTATGACGTGAGCCTGCAGCCTTCTTCCAAAAATATAAACCATGCATACACTCCTATTCCACATGCCACTGGCAGGAAGAAAAATTACTTCACACTTCTGGAGTCATTTAAAATCAAATGCGTTTTCAGTAGTCAAGAGACAACGAAAGAAATTTGGATATTCTTCAAGGTTTGCCCAGTGAAAAATGTTGATAATTTCAGGGGGAATAACTTTCTTGATTTGGTTTGTCATAAAACCAGAGCAAGCAAAACTGATTGTTGCACAGCAAACAGGCCATTAAAGGACAAATTTTTTAACAAGAAAAAATTATTATTAAAGCTAAGAACTCTGATTTGGTAGTGTCTCTAGTCAAACCTCCAAAAGATCAGAAAACAGACTTCCTGGGAAGACTGACCCTTGTGTTGCCTGTCTAATAATAGCCAATGAGTTGTTATGAATAAACTTGCTGTTTGGAGGGGTTTCAGCACTGAGGCTGGACACAGTTGAACTCACAGGGGACTTCTGGCTACACTCTGCTAACAGCAGCAGAAATGGAAAAAAAGTGAGTTCTGTTTTATTCCATGCTCCACCAGTCTGACACACACTCATTCTTACTGTGCCTCCCTGGTTGTATAATGTTATTATGGCAGACAGACTGGCTGCGACTCAAGGGCTGGAGACAAAGACAGATTGACTGTAAGAACAAGACAGACAAAGGGGAAAGAGAGAGCGAGACAGGAGGGAGGGAAGGGCTGGAGGTGTTGACTGGGGTTCCCCGGCTTCCCTCTGCTGAGGATTCCCTCACAGTCATCCGGGCTGTGTCAACCCAAGGCTTGCCCAGGCACATTCCTGAATACTGACTTCACTTCTCTCTCTCTCTTTCCACTTCCCCACAGCACCTCCCCACCTCACTAGTCCTCCCTCCCAGCCCAGACGATGAATAAAATAGCTTGTTTACGAGCAGCAGAAGGGTGAGCAGTGCCAAGCAGTGGGGAAACACTTCCTGGTGACGGTTTGCCGACAATAGCAGGGAGCTGGTTTCTGTGTCCAGAGAGTTTGGAAGCAAAGTAGCAAGCTGGCTATGGACAATATCTAACTGCAGAAAATAGGACCCCCAGTGAACATCACATCTGAATGTGGTTAAGCAGTATTAACAAGCTAGAGTTTGACTTGACTTGTGTAAACTACAAAGATGATAAAGTTTTCAGCAGTTACTATGGCAACTTGACTGATGATGGCTCTTTGAAAATGAGCATTTCACAAAGTAATGCGCTGGGATCTGTCAAAATTTACCAAGAATAACTGTTATGCAATCAGCAGGTCCTTGATACAGCACGCTCTGACTGCAGACATCAAATCCCACACATTCTAATGTGAACGAGCTCATTTCTGGCCTCCGCAGGCTGCTGATACACAGTTAGCATGAGTGGTAAAGTAGCATGCAGGCAAGCAGGTACACATCCCAGTAAAGAGCTGATAATCAGCGAGGAGACATAGGAAGGCTGGTTGCATGAAGGTACACTTGTGCTGCTTCAGTAAATGGCTTCAGCTACGTGATGCCACTCAGTCCAATAAACATGAAAAGGTAAAACAGGCCTATAAATATCATAATGGTAACCCAGGTCCACTATACAGTAGCTTCCTATAAAGTATTCGCCCACCGGAAAAAGTCTAAATGCATTAACCATATCAAATGTAAATTATAAATGTACCCTAGTCTCCTCTCTCTGTATTATCTCGCTGCACACAGGGAAGAGACGTCCCCAGCCTGAAAAGTCAGTGTTGTCTTCATTTACA